TGCTCCAGGCAGTGCTCTGGGTGATGCTCTGGGTGATGCTCTGGGTGATGCTCCGGGTGATGCTCCAGGTGCTGCTCCAGGTGATGCTCTGGGTGATGCTCTGGGTGATGCTCCAGGTGATGCTCTGGGTGATGCTCTGGGTGATGCTCCAGGTGATGCTCCAGGTGATGCTCCAGGTGCTGCTCCAGGTGATGCTCCAGGTGATGCTCCGGGTGATGCTCCAGGTGCTGCTCCAGGTGATGCTCCAGGTGCTGCTCCAGGTGCTGCTCCAGGTGCTGCTCCAGGCAGTGCTCTGGGTGATGCTCTGGGTGATGCTCCAGGTGATGCTCCAGGTGATGCTCCAGGTGCTGCTCCAGGTGCTGCTCCAGGTGATGCTCCAGGTGATGCTCCAGGTGATGCTCCAGGTGCTGCTCCAGGTGCTGCTCCAGGTGATGCTCCAGGTGCTGCTCCAGGCAGTGCTGTGGGGGCACTGGAGCTGCTGGCCAGCCGCCCTCCAACCCTCACTGCTGAGAGGCACCGACCTCCCTGCCCGTGGCCGGGGTTTGTGGGCAGTGCCCCGTCACAATGTGATGGAGCTGCAGGAGAGCCCGGCCCTGCTCTGCTCGCTGTACAGCAGCATCAATGTTTAATGATGAATTTAATAAATAAAGAGCAGGGTGGGATGATGGCAGCAGTGGCTGCTCAGGGGGGGTGGCTGAGGGTGGCAGGAGTGTGGGGTGGGAGCAGAGGCATTTCCATGGACACAAGGAGGTCCAGGGTCCGTGCAGGGGCTCCCCAGGGCCCGTTCTGGGGTCCCTCAGGGTCCATGATGGGGCTCCCTCACGGTTTGCATTGGACAGACCACACCTGCTCTTTCAGCCAGTCAAACACACAAACATTGGCTTAATTTTATTTTGCTGGTAACAAGTTGTTGTTTGCCTTGGGAAGAGCTGGTGCTGGGGTGCAGGGTGGGACGTGGGGTTGATGGGGCCAGGCTTTGGGCACAGTGCCCCTGTGAGGACACCCAGACCCCAGGCTGGGGCTGCTCTTGCCTGCACAATAAAGGAATGTGTTTGGGTTTGCTGTGTAGTAAACAATACCACGAGATGCAATACGAATTATGCTTTAAAAACACACATTAACATTAGGAGGAATATGCATACAGATTAAGAAGAAAATGATGAAAAAAGCTGGGAGTTGTGCTGACTTGCAGAAGCCCTTCCACACTGATAAAATCCAGGAGATACAGAGGCAGAGTTCCTTGGGAAAGGATACAGCTGACAAACCTTTACAATAACCCGGCAGTGTTTTGCCTTTCACAGTGAAAGCAGAAGAAATGACATCCCAGTCAGTAATGCCTCATGGGCTGCTAGATCCTGAGGCACAGAGGGCTGTGATAGCTGGGTCTGAGCTGTACCTGGGGACTGGGTGGATGCTGGCTGCGACTGCTCCTCACCCACAGCTGGCTGCAGCCCTGCAGATAAATGGAGCAGGGGCTCTCCCCCGTGTTTGCTCTGAGGGCTGTTTTTGTGTCCTGTGGGGACCATCTCATCTCCAGGGCACCGAGGTAACCCCAGACAGGCAGTGTTTGGTGCTATGGTGCTCTGCCTGGGGAAGCAGCTCTTGCTTTGGCTGCCTTGGGGATGCTCAGGGAGCGAGGCCTGATGTGTCTGTGTGTTCTGGCTTTCCACCCCAGACCTTCCTGTGTCCCTGCTGAGCTGCAGCCTGAGTGGGAGCCTGTCTCTTGTGTTATTGCTGCCCTTTGCCAGAGGTTCTGGCTTGGTTTATTGGCATTGTGTGATGGGAACTTGCAGGGCCGTTCTCTGGAGGCACCTGGGCTCACTCCTGTCCCTCTGCCCTGGGAGATGCCCTTTGCCTGATGTGCTGCAGAGGGATCATTCAGTGCTGCCAAGCCTGGCTGCCTCCCCCAGGTGAGCAGGAGCACGTGGCACCTGCCCTGCATCTGGTGTGCTGTGTCAGCTTTGTGTCCAAGCTGCAGCAACTGCTGGGAAACGAGTGCTCCCAGGGCTTTGGGTTTGGTTTGTTTAGAGGAAAAACCCCAGAGAGTTTCACGGAGAGAAATAATGCTCTTGCCATGTGTGTGAAGCCAGATCAAAGTGTGTGTGTTTGGGTGTGCCCTCTGAGCTCTGCACACCTGAGCTGGAGTCTGGGGAGGGTTGGGGCAGAGCCTGGGCCTTGTCCTCTCCCTCACTGGGTGTCCTTGGGCTCTGACACGAGCTGCATCCCTGCCTTCGCCAGGGCTAAGGGCAGAGCTGCTGCTGCTGCCTGGGTGCTCCTGCTGCAGCTCATTGATTGGACTGTCCAGACTCAGTGGAATGCTACTGAGATTCCTATTTTTTCTTCATAGCCACTTTTTAAACAGTTTAAAGGAAAAAATGTCATAATAAGATCTTACTCCAAGAAAGATGGCTTTTCCATCCAGACATTACCATACAGCACGTTTTCTTTCATTCACTGCTTACACCATATTGACACTTATTTGAAACTTCCCTTTTTTCCCCTTCTCTAGAGCTAAAAATTCACAAGTCAGTACATCTGGTCATTGTTGATCCAATAGTGACAAACTTCTTTTCTTGAAATGTCCTTAAATCCCATCATTTTAGTACATCAGGTCAGCCGCTCCTGTGATTGTCCCTGAGTCTTTTGGTTTTGAAAAGGGAAAGTCAAATCCAGCAAATCTGATTAGCAGGGCATTGAGGAAGTGCACCAGGGAGCAAACCAAGATGGTCCAGAAGGAATTCGCAAACTCTTCACTGTGAGTCTTGAAGGTAAAAGTTCCCTCTTTGAAATTAGCAATTTTCTCTGAAAGGTGGTGGATCTTCACCTCTGAGGAGAACAGAATCATGATGAGGCAACCACAGGAACCTGAAAGGGAGGGGGAGATGCTCATCACCTCAGCAATCCCTCGGCCATGCTGTATGATGTATGCTGCAGCTAAAACCACGTGGACGAGGTTTGTATGGCCACTCAGCTTTAACAGGGATTATTTTTGGAACCCAAGCCAATGGCTATTGAAATGGGTAAGCTTTCCTAATTGAATTTGGCCCAGGAGCAGGAATATTTAGCGCTGCTGCTTTAGTGCCCAGAGCTAGCGAAATATCTGTGCTCAGCTTCCTGTTGCTCATTGTCCCATTGAGCATAACGGAGCTCCCTGTGTGCCTGAACATAAACACCTGCTCAAGTCCTTTGTTAAATTATGATTGTAACGCGTAATACCTTGTAGAGTCAGGGTAAATCTGCCTGTCACCCAAGCCAGCAGCCCAGAGAGTGGGTGTGTGGCAGAGGGACGGGACCCTCTGTTATCCCAGCACGGCAGTGGCTCCTCTCAGAGACCACGAGCTGCTGCCAGCCTCTTGTGTGTGACTGTCAAATCCTGTGTGTGGCTGTCAGCTCCTGTGTGTGGCTGTCACCTCTTGTGTGTGACTGTCACCTCCTGTGTGTGACTGTCATCCTCCTGTGCGTGGCTGTCATCCTCCTGTGTGTGGCTGTCAGCTCCTGTGTGTGACTGTCACCTCTTGTGTGTGACTGTCACCTCTTGTGTGTGGCTGTCAGCTCCTGTGTGTGGCTGTCAGCTCCTGTGTGTGACTGTCATCCTCTTGTGTGTGGCTGTCACCTCTTGTGTGTGGCTGTCATCCTCTTGTGTGTGACTGTCACCTCTTGTGTGTGGCTGTCATCCTCTTGTGTGTGACTGTCAGCTCCTGTGTGTGGCTGTCACCTCCTGTGTGTGGCTGTCACCTCCTGTGTGTGGCTGCCAGCTCCTGTGTGTGGCTGTCAGCTCCTGTGTGTGACTGTCAGCTCCTGTGTGTGACTGTCACCTCTTGTGTGTGACTGTCACCTCTTGTGTGTGACTGTCACCTCTTGTGTGTGACTGTCACCTCCTGTGTGTGGCTGTCACCTCTTGTGTGTGGCTGTCAGCTCCTGTGTGTGACTGTCACCTCCTGTGTGTGACTGTCACCTCCTGTGTGTGACTGTCACCTCTTGTGTGTGGCTGTCACCTCCTGTGTGTGGCTGTCACCTCCTGTGTGTGGCTGCCAGCTCCTGTGTCCTGGGGCAGGCTGTGCTGCTCTAAGTGCTGACCTCACTCACAGCATCTGGAACCCTCCTGCTGTGGGACCAGCTCCATCACTGGCATATTTTGGTGGGGTTTTCCCCCCCTTTTTGTACTCTGGTGTGGTTCCTGGCTCTGACTGTGTTTGGGGTGCCAGTGATGCCAGCCCAGCTCTGGGGCCCTCCTGCCCTGGCTTCCTGCAGCCCATTCCCATCCTGCCACCCTCCCTGGTGCGGGATCTCCCCGCTTCATCTCTCAACTTCAATTTGGAAACGTGTTTGGTATGGCAGAGTCACCCTCCTTCCTGCCTGGCTCGCTTTTGCCAGTTTAGAGTGAGCACAGCCGAGCTGAACTCGCTCTCCTCGCTGAGCAATGGGTGTTGGTGAGCGCTGGCAGCCTCAGCACAGCCCAGGTACTCACAGGAGGTGAAACTCCAGAGGTACAGCCTCAGCACAGCCCAGGTACTCACAGGAGATGAAGCTCCAGAGGTACAGCCTCAGCACAGCCCAGGTACTCACAGGAGATGAAGCTCCAGAGGTACAGCCCCACGGGGCCGTGCAGAGTCTCGTAGGGGCTGCCAAAAGCGTTGAACATGAAGAACCCTGCTCCCACCAGGGCAAAGACAATCAGCACTGCACAGAACAGAATGACACTAACGTGGATACTTGCAGGGATAATTCTGAGCAAATCTGGAAAAACTGAAACCAAAACAAACACAACATTATTATACACATTAGACAAAGTTGTCTCTGATGTCAGGTGGTGGTTCCTGCTCGTTTGTGATATTTGTTTTAGTCCTGCTATTCTAAGTGCAAGCAGGTGAAGTAATTAACTAGAAATGGTTTTTCATGGATGTTTGGGGGCAGAAAAATTCTGTGACACTCAGAAGCATAGACTGGCCAGGAGAGAGAGAGACCAGCTCCAGGGAAAGCCTCTCCTCCCCTCCTGAGGATGGTGTTTGGTCCTCAATGTGAACAGCATCTTCTGGGCAAAACCAGGAATTTGTGTTTGAGGAGGCAGGTCTGGCACAAGGTGCCACCGAGGCCTCTCCCCGTGCCAGCACTACAGGGCTGATCTCCCTTGGCTGAAGGCTTGGCCCTCCGCTCTTCCCTGGGACTGCGACAAGAAATCTTTCTTTAGACTTTGTTTTCATTTATGTTCATGAGGTCCCACAAAGGGTTGTGACGTGGGAAAGGAAATTATGCTGTGATTATGGATGCACAAATACAGGAATAATTTATTCTAAATATTTTAATGCAGTTTTTAAGCTACTATTTCAGATTGTGGTCCTGTTTGTCTAGGACACAGGGATAGTCGTTCAGACAGCAAGAGAGAATGATTTATTAAAATTACCATTTGGCAAAGATGGGTGTTTTGGAAGGAAGTGTGAAACACCCTTCACTGCTCCTGATCCACGGGGACATGACTAAAGAGAGGTACCAATGCCTGGTGCTGCTTTGCTGTGGCTGCAGTGTGTGCAGAGCAGAGCAGCCTCCCATCAGAGACTCCCCCTGTGAAGGCTGGAGCAGCAGACTGCTCTGCAGCTCCCTGCAGGAGCACCGGCACCAGCGGGGTACCAAACCCCATCTGCCTCCCCGAATAACTGAAAGGGAAGTCAATGAAACAAATGTCTGCGGAGCTCGTGAGGCTCAGCAAGGGCCAGGTGCTGTGTGTGGTCAGGACAATCCCACACAAACTCAGGCTGCTGGGCTCAGCAGCTCCCCGTGCCTCGGCCAGAGCCCCCCGAGCCCCCAGGGGGAGCAGCAGGGGAGGGGGTTCTGCCCCTCACCCTGCCCAGGTGGGACTCCATCCTCAGAGCTGCCCCAGCCCTGGGGCCCCAACACAAAAACAACCTGAGGGAGTCTGGAGGAGGCCACGGAGCCAGGCTGGGAGAGCTGGGGGTGTTCAGCCCGAGGAAGGGAGGGCTCTGGGGAGACCTGGGAGCCCCTTGCAGTGCTTCCCTGTGCAGGATTCCAGCAAGGAATAGCACTAGTTCCTGCGACACTATCGGATGTTTTGGGAAAACATGCAAAACCCTGCATTTATTAATACAGTTTTATATGGTTTGTTTTAAGAAAACAAGTTATGGCATGGTATTGAATCCTCCCCTGGGCAGCTGCATCTACAGCTGGTTCTGTTGTTAACATTTTATATGTGATGTGTCAGGAAAAATTAATTCCAGAAACAATGTTGTCTTGAAAGGAAAAGGTTCCTTCGTAGTCCAGAATGAACCCACGTGTGCTGTGCATGGCAGAGACCTTTAGAAAATGAACCACTGACCTAGAAACTGATGGGAATGAGCAGGAACAAATGGAGCAGAAGTTTTTCCCCAGCTGAACTGGGTTTGCTGGCAGAGCAAATTCATATTACAATTAAAAGAGATACAGTGGTCAGAAGGGAGCATTTAATGGGAACAAGCACAGAACTAAATAATTTAGCCTATTTTCCGTGTCTGCTGTCCTCAGACATGCCAAAGTGCAGTGACTGCATTAAGCTATGGCTGTGTGTTTTATAAGTTTGTCCTGCTTTCCAAAATGCTCCTGGTGAGCTTCCAAGGTACCAAGGTGATGGGAGGGGGCTGCTGAAGCCCCAGGGAACGGGATCAGCATCTTGTTCTCGGTGCTCTCTGAGGTGAGTGCTCCTGCCCCTCGCAGTGGACACTGACTGAACCTGTCAGCCCCAGAGCTGCTGGACCAGCCCTGGAGTGTCTCACCTCCAGCAGTAAACCAAATCCTTGGGATTGCATAGACTGCTCTGAAAATCTGCCCACAGTGCAATAACTGCACACTGGGATGGCACACAAAGCAATCAAAAGGGAACTTCAGTGGTATAAATAGATGGAATTTAGAGAGAACAAATACTAATACTACATTAAATTACCTTGGTTTACTCTTCTGAGAGAATGTTATATAGTAAATAATTTCTGGTACCTAGTCTGGCAAACTTCCCTTGCATTAAATCACGGATGTGAGCAATTTGTCCGTGCTGTTGTAGCAGAACAATTATAAACTGTGTGCTGGAGTAATTAAAGAGAGGTATTGTACACACAGCAACTGACTTTTCTGCTGCCTGTTTGCGTGCTGCTGGATACAAATGTGTCTCACTTCATGATTTTTTTGAGTTATCTTCTTATCCTTGAATATTAATAGCTTATGAATGTAAAGTGAAGCCGTTACTAATACTTTGATATTCTGTGTGTCAGGTACCAAGTCAGCCAGCATTCCCCAGACAGCCTCCCCCAGTCTTTCTTCCAATTAATGCCACAGATTACAAACTTTTGGGCTGCTTTCTATCTCAATAGCAGCCAGTGCCCCAGCTCTCTCCTGAGGTTTTTGCTGGTTTAGTTCATTCTTGACAGCACCGAGGTAATGTTGTAATGCTGGCACACAGAGGAAGGTGACAGAGATTAATTAAAACCCCCAAACACTCTTTAAAAAGTAATAGTAAAAATCTTTTGGAATGTGGCTATCTGTGTTACTGCATTACAGATTTTTGAAGACATTAACCAGGCTGTGCTATATCATAAATGAAGTTAGTGGAGATCAGAGCCCGGCAGGGCAGCGCAGATTGGCACAGCCCGCTGCGGGTCTGGGTGTTGGGTCTGGGTGTTGGGTCTGGGTGTCGGGTCTGGGTATTTGGGCTGGGTATTTGGGTTGGGTATCGGGGCTGGATGTCGGGTCTGGGTGTCAGGTCTGGGTGTCGGGTCTGGGTGTCGGGTCTGGGTGTCGGGTCTGGGTGTCGGGGCTGGGTGTCAGGGCTGTGTGTCAGGGCTGGGTGTCGGGTCTGGGTGTCAGGGCTGGGTGTTGGGTCTGGGTGTCAGGGCTGGGTGTCAGGGCTGGGTGTCAGGGCTGGGTGTCAGGGCTGGGTGTTGGGCTGGGTGTCGGGTCTGGGTGTCAGGGCTNGAGCCCCAGAGCCCGGGCAGCCCTGTCCCCAGAGCCCCGGCACCCGGCCAGCCCTGTCCCCAGAGCCCGGCCAGCCCTGTCCCCAGAGCCCGGCACCCGGCCAGCCCTGTCCCCAGAGCCCGGCCAGCCCTGTCCCCAGAGCCCGGCCAGCCCTGTCCCCAGAGCCCCAGAGCCCAGCCAGTCCTGTCCCCAGAGCCCGGCCAGTCCTGTCCCCAGAGCCCCAGAGCCCGGCCAGCCCTGTCCCCAGAGCCGAGTGCCCGGAGGATGCTGTGAAGGTTTTTCGTCCCTGTGCCCTTCTCTGTAGAGCTTTGCAGATGTTTCAGTGCATCCCCTGTCACCTGATAGCGAGGGTTTAGGATGACAGATCTCTGTAATTTGATGAGTGCTCTGCTCGTCCCAGCCCCCGGGGGAGTGGGTGAGTTGGGGGTTCAGACAACAAACTTGGCTGCTCTATCTGATTATCTGCTGTCCATAAAGGAAGGTTTCAGAGGGTTTATTTTTGCAGGTTTTCTTCTAAAGCCAGCAATGCTGAGCTGCTCTCTTGTATTTTTTGGTTGTTGTTTTGTTTTCTTGCTTTTGGGCTTTGTTTTTTCTTCCATCTCTGTGTATTTATTTTTTGCTGTTTTTAAGGAAATGCCCAGGTACCATACAGCACCCTGCCAAAGCAGGAGGCCCCTCTTCAGTATCCAGTTGCATTTGGGCACTTGCTTGTCCTTGCATTCCCTGCCAGGGCTCTCTCCTAAGCACAATGCTGTTTTGGCTGCAGCATGTGGGATGCTCAGGCAAGCTGCTCGCTCCAGCTTTCAAACACACACAAATACATTTCCTCTTACAACTTGACAGAAGACCCAGCCCACCCCGAGGCTCAGGAACACACGGCTCCTGCCTTGCTCTTCACACAGCATCCCTGGAGTGTGGCCAGGGCGAGTGCCAGGGGCTCTGCCTGCATCCATCCACCGACTGCCAGGGGCTTCAGCAAACACAGTTTGGGCTTTCTCTCAATCAGATCAGCTTACTGCTTTGTTAACTGCACGTACACGCTCTGCAGGTGGTTCAAGAATATTGTATCACCTGGGCTTAAAGACTGAGTCTAGTTAACTGTGGGTTTTAAGGCAAACTTGGAATTAAAATGAAACAAGGCTGCGTAAAAAGGATTTACTGATTTGTTTTGGGGTCCCATCGCCTCGTGTGCGTTTGTGCCCGACGCCTGTCCTTGCTGCTCAGTGAGGGGCTGAGCTGCCCACTCCCCTCACATCATCCCTGGACCAAGCAGCCCTCCCTTGGCAGCCCCAGCCCTCCCTGCTCGGGTTTCCCCCGCTGGTGCATGGGCTCAGCCGAATGCTGCAGGTCGGTCACGGCTCTGCTGCTCTGCTCTCAAGGCTGTGGCCGTTCAGTGTGTTGGAGAACAGTGGGCTTCGGGTGGGGCAAGGTGTGCTGGCTGTGGTTTGAAATGCACCCGTGTCCATTCCAGGGTGAGGGGTGTTGGGAGAACGGCTGGGGAGGTCTCTGCACCTGCTGAGGCACGATGGAGGAACCTCTGGAGAAGCTGCTGGTGTCGGTGTGTCCTCTGCACCCCTGCCGGGGGAAGGAGTGGCTGTGCTGCCTGGCACGGCCAGGCTGTCCCTCTGGGATGGAGGGCTTGCCCCAAGCATCTCCTGTGTTCTCCTCACCATGAACCTGTCCCCGTGTGCCTGCTGAGTGAGGCTGGGCAGTGACAGCACCGACCTCTGCGAGCTCTGCCCCGCCAGGGTTCCTTTGCTGTTTCCAGCCTGTCACTGATGCCTGGTGCCAGACACTTTGTGTTGGTTTTGTCAGATTTATGAGAGGTTTATATTGCCTTACTGACTTCTACAGTTTTCACGACTGTGGAACAGAAGAGCCTGTTTGCTTTTGTACGTTGCTTGGCAATCACAGAAATACCAAGAGAGTAATTATTTTCTGAAAAATGACGAGCTGTGTTTGTTTGCCTTCCTGAGCCCTGATCTAGTGAGACTTCTCCAAAGCCTGCTGCTGTTTGCTCAGTGTCTCCCCAGGGGTTGCAGAGCGATGTCCTGCTGCTGGTACCAGGAGTCTGCAGATGCTCATGGGATCACAGCATCATGGAACAGGTCAGGGACCTCTGCAGATGTCATCTGTGCCCTCCCTAGGCAGGGTCAACCAAAGCAGGTTCCCCAGACCATGTGAGGCCCCAAAGCTCGGGGCAGTCTGCCCCAGTCAGAGCTCTCCTGGTGGCAGCTCCCTCTCTGGGGGCTGCAGCTTGCCCCGGTTGTTGCAGTGTGGGAAGTCCAGAGCCCAGGGCAGGCAGGGCTGCTCCCAGGGAAGGTGTGTGGGGACAGTGTCCTCGTCCCTCTCTGCTGAGGGGGCCTGAGCCCCGAGGTTAGATTCTCTCTGGTTCTCATTGTGCCGTGACTTTTCTCCTCTTAAACACGGATCTGTTCTGGGAATGCTGGGCTTGTCTTCGTCCTGGGCTGTGCTGTGACCTGTGGCAGTGTCACAGTGGCTCTCTAGGGACAGCACAGCCTCTCTAGGGACAGCACAGCCTCTCTAGGGACAGCACAGCCTCTCTAGGGACAGCACAGCCTCTCTAGGGACAGCACAGCCTCTCTAGGGGCAGCACAGCCTCTCCAGGGACAGCACAGCCTCTCCAGGGACAGCACAGCCTCTCTAGGGACAGCACAGCCTCTCTAGGGACAGCACAGCCTCTCCAGGGACAGCACAGCCTCTCTAGGGACAGCACAGCCTCTCTAGGGCAGCACAGCCTCTCCAGGGACAGCACAGCCTCTCTAGGACAGCACAGCCTCTCTAGGACAGCACAGCCTCTCCAGGGACAGCACAGCCTCTCTAGGGACAGCACAGCCTCTCCAGGGACAGCACAGCCGGTCACCTTCCTGCTCAGCCTCTTCTGTTCGGGTTTGCGTGTGCCTGTTGTGCTCTTCTCTCCCCCTTTCCCCTGTGCCATCAGCTGGGGCTGCAGCTCAGCCTGGATTCATACGAGCTCCCATCCATGTCCAGGAGCCCCGGACAGACAGACAGAGCCCCGGACAGACAGACAGAGCCCCGGACAGACATACGGAGCCCCGGACAGACACGGAGCCCCGGACAGACAGACGGAGCTCTGGACAGACACACGGAGCCCCGGACAGACAGACGGAGCCCCGGACAGACAGATGGAGCCTTTTTTCCCCACTTCCCTGCATATATCTCAATTTCAAATCTGTCTGAAATCAGGATTCTGCAATGTAGCTGGTCCTCATTCATTTTAATACTCCTGCATGAAATTCGAGGTTCTGGGAATCTCATGGGGTTTGTTTTAAAGTTACACCTTAGCTGGCAGGTTTGAAGAGACCTCGGGATTCTGCTGATTGCAAAGCACATTCTAAATCTTTGGCTATTTCCAAAGCACTATTAAAATAAAAATGACACATTAGGGAAGTTGGGGAAATCTTTCTTTTTTGTTTGATTGGTCTGAGAAAGCATGGGAAAAGATCTGACACCGTGCTGGGGGCGAGGTACTGAGAGCAATACTGAATCTCCAACTGCTGGCCCTTGGCTGTAGTTAAGAATCCACAGGAAATGTCTGGTTTTAAGTTTAGTCATAAGCTGAAAGTTCAGACCATATTTGTTAAAATGTTTGCAAAGCTTCATAATCTGGAATGATTCTGTGTCCAGTTGTGAGCAAACATCGACTCATTTTATTTTCTGCTCGTGCAAAGCTGATCTTCCTATACTTGTAGGGTTTTTTTAAAACCCAAACTGCAGCACTGGCAGCTGTTTCTGTGTGTCTCAGTCAGTTTCTCCTTTTCTGTAGAGTCACTTAACAGCTCAGGGAACTTTTCCAGGTCTATAAAGACAAAGTGATGGTTCAGTAAACCTTTACTGCATAATGGTCTGCCCTTCCTGCAGAAGTGTTGTGGGAAGAGAGCAGATACTGGAATGTGAGTGCCCCAAGTGTATGAGGAGCTTGCTTGGGGTGTGTGAGGCTGGGAAAGATGTAAAAGGATTTATTTACCCAGTCCTGAAAAAAAGCCTGGCCTCAGTTCATCCATCAAAGTAAGGAACAAGGCTGAGGAGATGGATCAGAGGCTTGGTTTGATACTTGGGACTTGCCACTCACAGCGTGGGACTGCAGCAGGATCAGGGGCATGCAACCATTTCCTGCCTAGGGAAGCTCTTGGAGGAGGATTTTTTAAATAAATGAAAAGCTGGAAATGTAGCATCCCTTTTGAACACAGGTTTTGATCACTATCCACCCCCCTGGTGCCTGCATATAGATTCTTGTCATTCTAATATCAGTAATCTGGTATTAGGTGGTGGGGTGTGAAACGATTGCACAATATAAAAAAATTTTTCAAAGCTTGCAAAGCAATTAAAAAGTTACCCCAATTTATATTGTGGAAGTGTTTTCATCTGTCTATGCCAGTGATCCTTCACAGCTGCAATTATGTAAATTTACGTAGGCAAATACCAAGCCCTGCCATGTAGGGAACCAAATGTTTTTGCCATAAATGACAAAAGATCTCCCACAAAGCACCAGATTCCCTTCTGCAGCAGGCTGGTTCCCTTGCTTGGAGGGCAGAGCCTGCAGAGCCTCAGTTTGACAGAGTCAGGGAGCTCTGAAAGAACCTTATAAATATCTTTTATATATTTTCTTTAACAAATACACCCAGAGGACATTCTCCTGTGTAGTCCCTGTGGGCAGGTTCAGGCACTGGGGCTCACTGGCACCAGGCTGGAGCTGCTCTGCCGGTGGCTGGGAAATCCCTGGGGCTGAAATTGCTGCAGGAGCTGTGTGTGCAGCCAGGGGAGGTGTCCAGAGCCTCAGCTGGAGCACCATGCTCTTGGATCAAGAGAAGTTACTCACAGCCTTGGAGAAGATGAAAGGACCAAATGTTTAAAAACTTTTCACCCTTAGATCTGTTTGGACTAAAATAAAATGCAGTGACAGAAAGGTGAAGGACTTATTATTTCTGTTCCTGTAGATACTTTGTTAAGTAAAATGAAGACATTCAGCTCCAGAGCTACTGTCTGAAAGCCTTTGTGGATACTTTAGGCCCCGGTGTGTTTTCCCTGTACAATAATAAAGTCAATTAAAATCAATTTAATCAATTTAAAAAGATGAATTGACATCAATTTAATCAATTGAAAAAAATAAAAAAGCTGTTCTGAAAAAGTTATAAAAGAGATTATATTTGCATGGAGCAGGTTAGTGGCTTTCAGCTGTTACCTTGGTACAGACAGAAATACTTTACTGAGGTGTAAAAATCATGGGAAAACCAGCAAGCCATTCTTTCTGGATTTAAATGTCCCAGAGTTTTCAGACACTGTTCATGTGAGTCCAGGGAAGCAGACTGGTGTGGCTCTGTTCATGTGAGTCCAGGGAAGCAGACTGGTGTGGTTCTGGTTCTGTTCATGTGAGTCCAGGGAAGCAGACTGGTGTGGTTCTGTCTGTTCATGTGAGTCCAGGGAAGCAGACTGGTGTGGTTCTGGTTCATGTGAGTCCAGGGAAGCAGACTGGTGTGGTTCTGGTTCTGTTTGTGAGTCCAGGGAAGCAGACTGGTGTCTGTTCATGTGAGTCCAGGGAAGCAGACTGGTGTGGTTCTGGTTCTGTTCATGTGAGTCCAGGGAAGCAGACTGGTGTGGTTCTGGCTCTGTTGGACTCTCCTCTCAGACACACACTGCCTGGAGCTCCACACTGTGCTGTTCAGGGACTCCTGTCTCTGAACTTGGGACCCAGATGGGACCAGGTGCAATCAGGGCGTTGGCTGCAACAGCAGGTAGTGAATGTATTGGCACATGAGCTCTGGGTTCAGACAGAGAAGCAGCAGCTGGTGCTGTGCTGAACCCCTCTCCTGTTAGTTGCTGGTTGTCTCTGTTTCTTTGGGACATCTGCATTCATGAATAACTTCCTGAAATGTGCATTACTGCAGAGACACAAACCTACACTATGTTTATACTTTCCCCAAGCGTATTTGATCTTCTGGATTTAGAAATTTCAACCTCACCTGAAGCTTTCAGCTTGAGATGCAGTTTTTGATACAGCTTTTCTCTGAAGGGGAGGCAGAGGTAAAAATAAATAATGGGGTCGAGGCAGACGTTTGCAGCAGACAGCACCAGAGTGAACTCCTTGGCGTAGAAGAGCGATTTCTGGGACTGGCAGGTGAAGTGGGAGCTGGTCTGGCTCAGGGTGTACGGGGTCCTGCACAGGTGGTAGGGCACAAAGCAAATGACAAACACTAACATGATGGTGAATATGTTCCGGCTGGTTTTCCTCTTGGCCATGTCTGAGCTCCTCCGGAATTTTTTGTAAGAGCTGTATATTTTTTTGGATATAGAAGTGTAGAATACGATTAGCAGGAAGAAAACAATCCAGAAAATCCCAGTGCAAATATAAGTTGTTGCTTTGTGCCATTGTCTGCCAAGCTCACTTTTAAGACCTATGCATTTTCTAGAGTCATTGTCTTCGGTGATTTTATTAGTTAAAATCATATTTGGAAATGACAGAGTCATCAGTAACAGCCATATGGTTATGGAGACCACCTTGCTGTAGTTAACTGTGTGAACAAAGGAGGTGAACAAAGGCTTCACGATTTTGTAGTATCTGTCAAAGCCTATGAGGCCGAAGAAGGCGATCCCGATGTACATGTTCATGTAGAACACAACCATCGAGTACCTGCACACCCACAGGTTCAGCTCCACAGGGGCAACCTCTGAATCCGCGAGGATTTTGAGAGGAAACGTCAGGCTCATGAGGAGGTCGGCCACAGCGATGTTCTTGAGATAGACAATAAAACTCTTTGTGCTGGGAACGTAGAGGAAGACCCAGGCTGCCACGGCGTTGAGCGAGAGCCCTGCGAGGAAGATGAAGCAGTAGAGCAGCGGGATGACTCTTGTGGTTATCACCGTGCTGTGGCTGCAGTTGTTTGCCCAGGGGCTGCTGCTGGAGTTGAACATCTTGCACTATCTTCATTCCTGGAAGCACAGAACACAGTATCTCAGTAGGACAGCGTGGTGCTGGGCTTTCTGCTAATTACTCTAAGTTTTCTACCCTCACTTCCAAAGGAGCTGTGTGTGCCTCTCAGAAATGACCACCTTCCCACACCTCAGCATTCCCAGCAGAGAATTCTCTGAGCGGTGCCATCTCGCTCCCTGGGGAGGTTCCAGGGCACGTTGTTGCTTTGATCAGAGGATCCATTTGTTTCTCTGTCTGACTTTAACCCGCTGCCCTCCAGCCCAGGGCTGCCCCTTTCCTGCAGGCCTGAGCCCACGTGCTGTGAGCTGGTGACTCAGGGTTAATGAGACGTGTTAAAGGACTGGTATTTTAAACATTGATTTACCATGAAACATCAGGGATATGAATATTCCTGGCCAAAGCATTCTGTAAAAACTCCTCTTCTGTTGGTCAGGACTGGAGATACGTTGCCACATGCTGGGCATCTCCAGGGTCCCTTGCAAGGAACTTGCATGTGCAGCTGGCAGAGTTTGCTCCAGCAGCCCAGCACACAGGAGCGTGTCCGTGTGCTGGTTTGTCATGTGGCAGCTTGAGCTGGCTTCTCAAGTCAGTCAGATTTACATTTTAAAGGATTTCCAAGAAGAAATCACATCTGCTGTCTGCTTTTCTTTGCCAGAATGTTTGTGGGGGTGGATTATGCTCTGTGGGGAGGGCAGAACAAATATAGATATAAATATAATGCTGCTGTATTTGACAAGTGAAGCCCTGGGCAACTGGAAAATATGTGCCTTGAAGCTGGGAAAAAACCCACCTTGTCTTTTAGAAAATAATTTCCTTTTATCCCCATTCTGAGTCAGTAGCTGATGTCTCTGTGGGGCAGGTTGGAGCCTGAATGCAACCTTGCAATAGCCAGAAATGGACATTTTTTCTCAAATAGGTAAAATGGTCTCCTTTGGTGTATTGTTTTCTGTACCTCTTGCAGATGGTGTGAAGGCTGATCAGCTCAGGTGTGTCCTGGAGAGGAGCACGGGGCAGGTGTGACACCCTGTGCACACCCAAAGCCTGCACTTCACCTCCTCCTGGTCATTATCCTGCCAGAGCAGCCGTCCTGTCTTTGTGTTCCAGCTCTGCTCATCAAGGCATTTGTTTTTGTTTGCTGGAGTTTTAAAAGAAAACGATGGTTTGGAGAGTGGGCATTAAACCACCACATGAACAGGTGTGTTTGAGCTGGGAGGCTGTGTGGGTAGAGCTTGGGGTGATAAAGCTGAAATTAGAAGCATCTTCTGGAAAGGCACTAATAGCAAATGGCATTTTAATGTAAATAGTAACACACTGTATTTAAAAACTGTTCTCTCCTGCTGTGTCCCTGTTCACTTTCTCCCTCCAGGCTTTCTCAGCAGGACCCTCTCTCTGCACATAGTGTGTTAAGAACCTGTCCCCAGCCAAGAACACACAGCTGGGTCTTTCTGTGCTTGGATTTGGGAACAGGTATTAAATTAGAAGTTCATGAAGTATGTTTTGTGCTGAGGCATCATACAACAAAGGATTACTTCAGAACTGTGTGACTAGAGATGTGGACATCTAATCTTTGTAAAGTCCATTGAGTTTGTGCAGCATGGAGGACACCCTAGGCAAATTTCACATTTGATACCAGCAGATTTATCAGCTGCCTGTCACTGAGAGGGAGCCACAGGCCGGGCCAGACTCTGTACATTTTCCACATCATTGGCATGTCCTTACCTTCCCTCAGCTCTGCTGTGGTGCTTTGCTGCAGGTCCAGAGCGCTGTCCCTTCCCAGGCACGGGGGCTCTGCTCTTGCTGGCACACCTGTGGGAGAGACAAGGATCCTGGCTCCTGGCAGTGCACCCCTGGGGGCTGAGGGGCTCCCACAGCCCAGCACTGACCAGCGCTCACACATGGCTTCAGACCCCTCGGGGAGCCTCAGGCTGCTTAGGGACAGATGTGGAGCAGCCGTGTTCAGGCTGAGCCCTGTCACTGCTGGGTGGGGCTGGGGGCTCCCGTGTCCCCTGCTGCTCTGCTCCTGCTGCCCTGAGCAGCCCAGCAGTGACAGCAGGCACTGTCACCTTCCTGGCCTGTCCCAGGTGGCTCCTGTGCTGGCAGGAGGCAGAGGGGACGTGTCAGGGCCAGCATTTGGGAGGGCTGGCACACACACAGAGCCTTTCACACTCCAGCAGCTGCTCTTGCTGAACGCTTGGGCCAGCCTGAAGTGTGAATAATGTCAGCCAGTTGTGCAAAAACAGCAAACCTGATTCACCAGATGACTGAGCCTGATTGGGTAAAGCATAGAAAAGTTTCTATGAAGTTTCTCAGCGTGCAAATCATGTTGTCTTGGCACAACACACAAAAAGGAAGCTGCATGAACCATTAGAAATGCTCAGTCCCTTCTGAGGTCAGACTCTTGTGCTGTCCCCTGTGACTCTTCCACAGTAGCATTAAGGCAATTCTTGACTCCTGTGACATGGCTGTCAAGTTTCAAAGTTCACCCTGCTTTACTGAACATAAGAATAATATTTATAAGTTGTGTTATTTGTTTATTTACCCTGAATTTACCAGAGGTTGTGCAGTTCCAAGCACACATTTCAGCTATTTATGGAAACTAATGCAGCTGTTTATTAAATATGTAATATAGTCACTGGGCCAGGAACTGGTGACAGTGGTCACTGTCACCAGAAGCTGTTTTTTAAATGCAAAATGGAGTTAATCAGGGGATGTGATCACGCCGGATGGTACCTCTGACGTGAGGGGGAAGATGGAGAAGGAGGAAGCGCAACACACTCCACAGCCATTGCAAGTTGTGCTGAGTGTGCTAAAAGAAGAATCTTATTTTAAGATTTTCCCTCTAATGTGGCAGGAATGTTGGTCCTGGTGGAACTGGCAGTGCTGTCCGTGCTGGTGCAATCCGGTGGGAAAGCTGCAGTGGGTGTCCCTGTGGGGCAGGAGGGTGCTGAGGCTCAGGAGCTGTGCTGGGCACGGGCAGGGGCCAGGCAGGGGCTGGCTGAGCGTGGTCAGGGCTGCTCTGACCCTTCTCTGTGTCCCCAGCGAGGAGCCCAGCCTGGCAGCCTGTGGGGTGTGGGCTGCCTGGAGACACTTCCCCGGCTGGAGCTGCTGCTCTCCTCTGGAAGGCACTGCTTGCAGTCACTGTGGAGATATCTTGGTACATTTGACGTGTTGCAAGTTTGCCAATAGTCTAAAATTTTGTTATTTATTGTTCTTATTATGACGTTTGTCGTAAGGCAATGTCTGGGTTTTAATACTTAAGAGAATAAAAGTATGCAAAATATACTAAAGGGTTATTTTAGCCTCTGGAAGTGGCATGCTGGCTGGTAGTCGTTCTTGTTTGTCATGGAATGTAGTGGAGGAAAACGGGATGAATCCCAGAATGAGGATGGCAGAAGAAATAGGTGTCATTCCCGTGGCAGGAGGCGGCTGGGGAGGATGTGCCCTGGTGCAAGTGGGAGAATTAGGATGAGCAGGTGGCAGTCCCGTTGCAGGGGGCAGGAGGATGCAGGAGGGTCCCCTCCTCCAGCAGGGCTCCAGGAAGGGCTCGCTGGGTGCAGCAGTGACCACGGGAGTGCCTCGCCCTCTCCTCCCAGCTCCTGCTTTCCAGACCCCCAGGAGTGCTGTGCAAGGACAGGGGACACAGAAAGCCGTGGCTCTCCTGGGACGTGTGGCCCCGTGAGCCTGGTGGCACCGGGGGTGTGCTCTGTCTGCAGCAGAAGGGAAGGACAGGCGGGTCAGCCCTCTGTGCACATCCCAGGACATCCAGTGCGGATCCCAACAGGCCAAATGCAGGATGCTGCAGCGAGGTGAGCGCAGGTCTCACACGGGTGAGACCATCCTGATGCTCTCCTGGCAGCAGCACTGAGCTCCTGCTGCTCTGAAGGGCACGGAGAGGAGAGCCAGCAGGTACACACAGCACAGGAGATAAGGCTGTGTATTTCCCATCAGGGCCATGGGCTCCTTTGGCCACGGTGGCAGGACACCTCAAGGGCAGAATTGTTTATCTGTCTTGCAAAAACCACCAGGAACTGTTCCGTTTCTTCTTCCTGTCCGGCAGTCTCTGTGCTCCTTTGGATCTGAAATTTAACAGCTTTGTCTTCCTGAGAAGCTAAATATTTCATTCTCTTTCTATTTCTGATTTTTAGACAAGATTATGCATTATTCTGAGCAAGCTTCTAGTCTTGAAAGATTGTAGTCTGTGAAGTATCTGTGCAAAGCCTGGTTCCCACCTGATGCTCAGATGGAACCTTGAGCAATGATTTGAGCTCTTTGCACACAGCATAATTTCAAATACCGAGGTTTTAAAATTAAGTCTTGAAATTCCCCCACTGAGATCTCACATCAGTTATCATACTGGATTTAGGGAGTTGTGAATGTGAGAGGAAATGTTAGGTCAAGTAATAGTTTAAGAAGTGAATAATAATAATAATAATAATAACAACAACAACAATAAAAATTGCAATGAAGGAAAATAACAAGGAGAGTGATAAACCCCAAGAAAAAGAAGTGGATCAGCTTTCCTGGTATGCCCCTCTGCACTGGCAGGGCATGTGAAGCTGGGAAATCCTTGACTTGGTGCAAGCCCTGCTCATCAACAGCTAAACCATCAGGGTGAAATCAACATCCTTCTCATCCCAAACCCATTTCTGTACCAGCTACCGGGAGAAAATTAACTCTATCCCAGCTAAAACCAGAGCCCTGGGTCAATAAAACATTTCATTGTCCTAAAACTGGGCTTTAAAAGTAGTAAAATGTGGCTCAAGGAAGTTTCCCCCTTTATTATTATATTTTAATAGTAGCATTTGTCATTCAAATATTTTATTTTAACTTCTGTTTTCTGGTGTTTTAAACTATGAGTTTCATATAGTTACATTTTCTCAGTCATAAATTAAAACGAAAGTAGTTGCTTAAGAAAAATATCTTTTTTAAGGCAGATGAGAAGAATCCTTGCCTGTGGATCCTCCATCTGCTGGCACAGCTGGAGCTGCTCCACGG